TCTTAGTTAGGCAGAAAGAGACTCATCTGTTCATTCTGCAGGGTTTGGATGAGATTATCTTCTAGAAAAAGCATCTTCTGTCACAACAGCTCCTTGAATAGAAACAAGTACCTAAGCAGGACAAGTCCAAAGCCATTCAGCATTTGAGTTTATCTTGCTTTCTCCCACCCTTTTTCAACTACAACTGCTGTCTCTACTGCTCTATCTGACCTCCCAGCAGGATCCTTTCCATCATGTAGCAGCACACATTGTGCTGGCTGCCCAGTTCCCATCAGCTTCAGCAGGCAGTGACTGAGCAGACTGAGCCTTTCCACTGAACAGCACCAAGGATCTGGATAAACATCTCCTGATCATCTCACCTGGCCCCCCTGCCTTCAGATTGTAATTTAAAGCCATACTTAATTTGTACTGGAAAACAAGGCCTAATAAAATGCACTTGCATACAAAGAAATAGCACGTTTGTTTTTAACATTTTTTCTTATTTTTCAAACAACCTATGTTATCAATAGCATTATTGATAGTATTATTGATGTTGTATACTGTATCTGTAAGATATACTTTCAAACAGCAGTTGCAGAGACTGAAGTCCTAATAAGTTTAAGGAGGAGCCTTGTAAACTTATACAAGCTATTCTGTGACCACTGCAGCTGGAAGCAAAGACCAGCAGTCAGATGCTTTTCACTCACACATCAGTGTGGCCATACAGAGTCTTTTACAAAAGCAGTTTGCAGACAGCGCTTCAAACACTGAGCAGCAAAGTTTGTAGGCAAAACTAAAAGGTAAATTAGCTCTTAGATGTATTTCATGCTTTGTGCTTTCGAAGGTCTTTATCTGGAATAATTTGGCTCTTTTTTAAGATGATCATGAAATAGCAAGTAAGCTATTAGCTAATAGCTGTTGTTTTTTTCCAGTAACGATCATTGAGAGGACACAATCTTGCTCCATTTACATCTCATGCAATAACAGAAATACACTGCTAGAGAAAACATTTGTAGAATGCACACATAAGCATTCAGCAGCTCCTACAAACAACACGTAGCTGAAAACTCCAATAGGATTATTGCTGTACTGATGTGCCCTGAAACGATACCATTGAGTGCTGCAGCTGTCCAAAGTGCACACTATCATGCACGCTCAGAACATTGTACACTTTGAGAACCACAAGCAGTATATTTTAACAAATTGCAGAGAGAATCACTATACTATCACAGCAGTATCACCATTCCTTGTTCAACTTATTTTGTGAGACCACTTGTCCCACTCAAAAATAATGTATTTTCAGTCACTGCATCTAAAAAGCAACTACAGATCAGCAAACTGAGTGTGTGAGCCAGCTAGTCGTCCCCCCAGCCCTCTAGTGGACAAGAAGTGATTGCTACGAACTTAAACATCAAAGTCTGTTATCACCCAAACTGACACATTCACAAGAATCTACTGCTCTGAAACAATTTGTCACTTTTTTACAGTTCAGCCTAATTCTGCTGCTTCTGAGGAAAGCTTCCTTGGCAAAACATGTAACACTGGGATGTAGATACAAGTCCAAACTTTGCTTTATGTTTCCATTTTGCTCTACATGACAGTAAATGCCTCTATAGACGGTCATATTTTAAAGCTTGGTACAGCTGCAGATAGTGCAATTACCCACACAATTTGTTGTGCTCCTGGAAATCAATGAAAAACAGATTTAGCAAACTGCTGATGTTCCAGGGATGAGAACTCAATAGAAAACTGCACACCTTCAACTTTCTTTTTTTTTTAATTGTGTTTTCATTTTCAATTTGCATCTTACTTATTGCACTGCAAATGGAACTTCTTTCACACAGCAACCTCATTCGTTCCAAACCTAACAACTTATCTTGACTCAAGATCTCCCACCAAGCAATTATTTCACAACACCTCCTCAGTGAGAACCTTAACCTAACATAACAACATTTTGGTAGCCCTCTAGATCACCATTACATGATATTCAGAAATATGAACTGAGTTGTCCATAATGATGCTCACTGTTTTCCTCCTCTAGGCAGTCTCAGTTAATTCAGAATTCTCAGCAAGCACCCTTCAAAAGAAGATCTTATTTTTCAGTAAGTACCAGAACTAAAGGATTTTCCCTGCAGGCTGATACACTCAATCCAAAATCCAGATGTTTGGCAGCTATGTGCGTAAGTTCTAACTCACATTTCTGAAACAAACACCAGTTCTTTCAGGGACAAATGCAAGTCACCTCCCTTCCATTCCCCTTATCCGAGATGACTATAGAGCAGGCTGTTCTGCCCTCAGTTATGATGGCCAGCATTAAATTTCATGGACTTCCTTCATCCTTCTGGAAGAAGGATGGCTAACTAAGTGGCACCTTGCTGCCCTCGCCTGGCATGGCTGCCACAGCTACCGCCCCTCTGCATTTTGTGACAAACTGGTTTGCAGAAGAGAAGCACGTGCTTATGGGTTACTCCTTACTCCTGCAGAGTGCAGTGCATGAGCACCTGGTACTTAACTGTTTTCATCCACCTGTGCCCTCCCACGGTTCAAAGATGGGCACTTCCTGATAAGCAGCAAAGACTTCATAAAACACCCAAGTGACAGTTCGTATCTTCAATACAGAATGAAGCCAACTTTGTATTTTAACTTACGCATGAGCCTGCATCTATCCTTCGAGCTCATCAGACAATTTGAAATAGCAGTACAAAAGTCTGAAAGAGATCTACATCCATCCAGCTTCTCTGGGAACTGGCATTCATGCAGAGGAGGGCTCAGGTTAGGCCCCCTGATGAAAACAGGCAGAACTCTGCTGTTCACTGAGGCACTTGGCAGCACCAAAGGCATTGAGCAGTTGGCACGTGCCACTGCATGCCCCTTGGGGTTGTCATAATGGGATCTCTCTGAGAGACAAGTAGTTCAGGATATAGTAATATATATGACAGGTATATTCATGTAGAGTTTATATAGAGCTTAGAGTTTAAAGGACATGTAAACTTAGCATATTCTTTTATTCAGCTGCTCACAAAAGACCTTAAGATACCATACAGATAATACAGTGTGAATATGTTTGCCCCTCAATAATTGGATCTGCAAAAATATAAATACTTAGAGAGAACGTTAGTTAAATGCATCCACTGCTCAGCTGTTTACCTTTACGGCGACTCAGCTCTCTTCTTTCTTACTCCCACTAGATGCTAATGCTTCTTCTCCATCTTGGATTTGACTTTCAAATTCCTTTCTCCATCAAACAGACATATAAAAACACAAGACACATTCTCAAAAACATTATTTTAATTCCAACACCTGCAGCAGCATTTGTTGCTGCTGCTTTTTATCCATTTCCAATTTCAAACATTATCAATTATTTCTACTTTAGCTCTTTCCCTTGGGTGTAACCCCTGATGGACTTCATTTCTGTTTCCCCATCCCCCTTTTATGCTCCTTTCCTCTTTTGATGAACTACGGCACCCTGCATGCTATAAACAAGAGACGTATCAAAATACCAATATCTAGTTTCCCTTTAGATTAGAAATACAGTTGTCACAACCGCGACCTTTTACAGAAGGCTGATGGAAGCTATGAAGCGATAGCTGGTTTTGCTTCTATGAATAGAGCTGAAAATTACTAATCAACAGTTCTAAAGTTTCCATGTATTGGTCTGTTTTTATCCTCAGGTATCAGACTTAGCTCTCCTCTTGGATTTCATTTCCTTGTTTCAAACTCAGACTTTACAGCCTGCCTTCACTCTTTTTTTTTTTTTTTCCTCCTTTGTATCATTGGAAGGAGAACGGAAAACAAGGCTGCAACGCATCAAGCCTCCCCCCAATAATAAACAGAACCAAAAAAGAGGAGGAAAAAATGAAGGCCCTGAGATCTTCCTGCAGCCACTCCTGATGCACTTCGCAGCCTTACCTCGAGCGCTGCCCATTTCTCACACTGCCGGCTGCCCGGCCCCACGGAGCGCCTCTCCCTAATCCCAGCCCCTCGGCACGGGTAATTATAGCTCTGGCGCAGCTCCACCATTTCTCTCGTATCAAACAATCTCCGCTCGCTCGCTTTATACGGACCGAGTCAAGAACGACTCGGGACCGGAGGGACCCGTCCTGCGCCCCGCTGCGTGACCTTGAGAGAGCGGCAGGCGCCACCGGAGGCGCCGAGCAGAGCGAGAGCGGGCGGAGCGAGCCGGCAGCGCCGCGGACGGGCCGGGAGACGGCGCCCCGCTCGCCTCGCAGAGCCGCTCCCAGCCGCAGGCGGCCCCGGCCGCGCCCTTTCGGAGCCGCTCCTCCCTCTCCTCCCGCTTTCGAACCCTCGCCCCGCCGCCCGCCCTCGGAGCCCCGCGCCGCGCACCCGGAAGGCGGGCGCCCGTCCCCGTCCCGGCTTCGCGCGGCGCGGCGCGCAGGCGCGGGAAGCGGTCGGCGTCTGCGCGGTCGCGCGCTGCACGGCCGGGGGCGGCCGCCGCGCCTCGCCTATGGTCGGGGCCCCGCCGAGGACGGCCCCGCCCTCCGACCCCCGCCCCTCCCCGGCAGCGCCGCGGCTGTTACACCGGGTAGGTTTCCAGTCACTATGGCGGCCGCTGCGCTGAAGGTAAGGGAGGGAGCGGGGCTCCGCCGCGCCTCGCGGCTCCTTCGGGGCCGGGCGCCGCCGGGCCGGGGCGAGGCGCGGGGCCGCGCCGGGCGGGGAGCGCGTCTGACCCGGTTTGTTTTCGGCTCCGCAGGTCGGAGGAAAGTTTTCGCGGCCGGCGGCTGCCTGAGAGGCAGAGCTACCGAGCGGGCCCGGCCGCCAGGCCCTCTCACAGCGCCGGGCCCGAAGGAGCCGCGCTCGGCGGGCGGAGAAGGCTCTGGGCGGCCCCCCATGAGCGGCCACCTGCGGAGGGGCTGAGCGGAGCCGCGCGGCCGCCCCCCGCCCCCCGACCCGCCGCTCGGAGCGCCGCTCCCCGCGCCGGGGGCTTCGGAGGCACTTCCTGGAGCGGCCCCCGCGACCCCCCGCCCGCCGGCGGCGACCCGGAGCCGCGGCGAGCTGTCAGCGCGCCCGGGGCCCAGCGAGCCGGCCGCCCGCCCGGCCCTGAGAGGCGAGCCGCGAGCTCCTCCGTGCCCCGGCGAGCTCCGAGCGGCCGCGCGGGGCTGTAGAGCGCTTCGGCTTCGTCTGCGGTCGGGGAGGAGAGCGGCGTTGCTCCGGTAGCCCGGCCCGAGGAGCGCCCGTCTGCTTTGACGCGCGAAGATGGTGAGATGCGGACTGCGCTGTGACACGACCCGCTCCCCGCTGCGGAGTGCGGGCTCTGCGGCCGCCTTCCCGCTCGCTGCGCTCTGAGGGAGGACGCCGGTCCTTTTCCCCCTTCCATAAACCTCTCCTTGCTTCCATGGTGCGGTGGTCAGCGTTGTTTACGGAAGGGGGAAAAAAAAGGAGGCGGTCGAGGTCCCAAACAAAAGTATTTGTATGACTCATCCGCCTGGATTTAAGACGTTCTCTCCCTCTGTCGAGGAGCCTTTCCTTCTGTCTGAAGAAATCAGATGCTCGTTCCTGTTCTTCCAGAGGAGGGTGGATTAAAAGTGGTACGTTTTAGACGTTTTCTGGGCCACTGCTGATGTTGTTAAGAGACATAATGGGGCTTTTTCACTGGATTATTGCCAGAATTAGTTTACACACTGAAACAATGAGTTGTTAGGCCTCTCGTATGCGGTAATGTTTGTCGTGCTTTAACGTAAACTTGCTGTGGAGGTTTGGCTTAAAAATTGTGGAGGACGATCTGCATCTGCATCGGAAGAGGTTCTCTTCGTCTCTGGTTGGTGTGGCAACTCCAATCTGTCCTCGATGCCTTCAGCCTTGGCCATCTTCACCTGCCGCCCCAACTCCCATCCGTTTCAGGAGCGTCATGTCTACCTGGATGAGCCCGTCAAGATCGGCCGCTCAGTGGCTCGCTGCCGGCCGGCTCAGAACAATGCGACTTTTGACTGTAAGGTGCTGTCCAGGAACCACGCACTTGTCTGGTTTGATCACAAGACCGGCAAGGTAAGATGTTCTGCTTGCTTTATTTAAAAATAGCACACTTCTTATTTATTTTAACAAGTCCCCAGGTGTTGCGGATCACTTTTGTTTCACCGCAGTAAATGTGGCTGTGTGTGGAAGGACTGTGTTCTATCCAGTGATTAATTATCTAATAAGTTGATAATTTCTTACCAAGCAGAAACTCAGCTTGTTCTTAAAAGTACATAACGCTAACAGTGCTGAAAAATTTGCGTGCTGGAGTAAGTGATTTTGAGGTGAGTAATAATTACAAATCTGAAAGCACAGACTTGTGTGAATAATGTGGTGCAATATTTTTTTTTTTTTTTTTTCAAATACTGAGAAATGATTGTCTGAGCGTGTAAATAAATCCCATTGTGAGGAGCTATCAGAAAGCAGATTTAAAAGCGTGCTGGGTTTGTGTGGCATTCTTCCTACAGTCTTGAAATCATATTGTGTGTCTTGTTTGGATCCGGTAGATAGTGGGGATGTAGCAGATGGCATACAAAGTGTTTTCTCATTGCTAGTGGAAATGGTATTAAAATACATCCAGTGTTGTATTAACCTGCCACTGTTTGCCTCAGAAAGGCAGTGGCTGTGTTGTTATGTGAAATACACGGGCTCTGTAGTGCATGTTTTGTCCACTAGGGTTTGAACTGGGACAAGTAAAGCCATTTTACTTAATGACTGTGAAGTTAATTTTAAATTTGAACGAGAAGAGAACAAAGTGCAGATTTCAGTTGCTCAGCACTGTTGTTTTTTTCCCAAATGTGTTGATGTTACAGCCTACAACTCCACCTGGTACAAATTAGCTCTTTTTAGCTTCCCTGCCTGCCCTTCTGTGAAATGTGGTCAGTGTAGCTCTTGATTTTAGGAATAACGAAGCCAGTAATTAATGCTGTGGTTTTTAGTAGTGTGACACAGCATGAAGAGCAGTAGAACAAAGTTCTTAAACCTTCCATTGTTAGCTATCCCCTGTTATGCAACACCTGGGCATGATGGGACAAGACGAGCGTTTAATTTCTTGAGGCTGGGTTATGGCATGGCTTTCAAGTTACTCACATGTAATTGTGTGAACTGCTATCTGTGATTCATTAAAAATATTATTTTGGCTCTATAGTGTTTATGATATGCGTTCTTGGACACTCTTAAGAACTTAAGTGCATGAAATATGGCTATTTTTAGTGTAAGCTTAGTTTTTAACTGTTGTTTTTTTTACTCAGAGTAAAAGGTTTTACTTTATTGTGCTGGTTTTAAATTTAAAAGCATTGTACATACAGCTTTTTATCAACACTTTCATGATTTATAAGCATTTTAAGACCCTCGTGTGTCCTGTGATGGCTATGAATGCTCTAGCTGTATTAAAGGTGGTTTAATCTGAGAAAACATTGAGTGTTGAGCAAATCTGCTAACTCATAGAAGAGCTTGAAGGAGACCCAGATGTTGTTTAGTGCTGTTCTTGAATTTTTAGTTAGCTTTGGCTCCTCTAACACATGTCAAAAATGATATGCTTATTCCTTTTATCTTTAGCTGATCTAAAATAGCAACTTGGTAGTAGTAAATAAGATGGTAACATGTGATAGCTCTTGAAATACCATCATGTGAGAAGTTGATGGGGGAATCTTGATGAAAATTGCGCAAATGAGTATCTGGATCAGTAGCCATAGTGATAACTAAATAAAGAGTGGGGTTTCAGATGATGCACAGGAAGGTATTGCTGTACGTTTTACATGTTGGAGCATTGCAAAAGGCAGAAAGAATTGATAAAGCAGAACATAGGGTTTTGGATTCTGTTTGGTTCATGGCAACAGTGATGAATTTTGGGAGGACAGAGCTGGGGGAGATGGGAAATGCAATGAAAGAGAATATGAAGTGCTGCTGGGAAAAGGTGGGTGATGGTAAATACAGTCTTAATCTTGAATCACAAAAGCTGCTTAAAATGCTGTGGTGTTTTAAATGAATAAACAAAGCCTAAATTATGCCAGAATATTTGCATGCGGGAATGTTTATTACCATTGTTTACAGAACTTCTACGTGTATCTCATGTAGGAATGTGTCATTATCCTATCAATGATGTATATTTAGATCCGCATAAGTTATTTTTACTGTAGCAGTTGTAAACATTTCTTAGAAGCTTATCTTCTATAAGACTTTTACCAATTTTGCTTTTTTTGAGAGATAAGACTTTGAAATGTTAACTTAATAACAAAGAGAAATCCTTGAGAAATGTAAAAATAGTTCATGAATCATGTGGGGCCAGGCGCTGGTGAGCGGTGTGCTGTGATGGCAATAGCAGATTCCTGCATTCCCTGTCTGTGCTCTCTGCTGCCTCTCGAGCCTCCTTTCTGCTGTGCTGCTGGTTTTTTCCTTGAGGGTTTGGAGTCGTGTTTGTTGTGTTTTAGTGAATCATATGTATGGTCCTGCGTTTGCTACATAGTCTGTAAATAATTGTATCAGCATAATCTGTAGGGAAGGGTGGGAAGTGGGGAGAGGGAGCATCGGTAAATATTGGCTAGAAAACTAGTTAGTAAGCTTTTTGAGGCAGAGGCAACCTTAAGATGAAGTGAATTACATAAATGCATTAATATAGTTAGTTCGTTTGGGTCGAGACACACCAGTGTTTACTTAGTGTAAGGGCAGTTCATATGTGCAAAAAGCTGCCTGTACTAAAGAGATAATGCCTGTGTCACACCAGCATTATTAATGATAAAAGTGGGATGAGTCTTCAAGACCTCAAGAAACCAGCAGTAATTAAAAGTAGGTATTTCAAGTTGCGTTTGTTTTTTGAAATGTTTTTGTGTAAACCTGACAATACATGAAAGTGGAAGGAGCGGAGGGGGAAACCTGTACTCAGGTTTTTGATTGTTTTTATGCTTAGTAGTACATTTATAGAAAAATAACGTAACGTCTCTTCTTGCTTGTGTTTATAGAAGCAGTGTGATGTGTCCTTTCAATTGTAGGTTTTTCATACAGCAGAAAGATTAGAATCTTAGGCTTAGACTTGATTATTTTTTATTTATTAGGATGGGGAGTTAGTGAGGGTAATAGTTACCAGTGAATGAATCCTTGTAAGAAAGGCCTGTAACAGCAGTCACCAGGTTTGTAGGAAGTGGATGCTGTGCTGAGCAAGCAGTGTTCTGAAAAGTGTGAATCAGAGCAGATGAAAGCATGCAACGCTTCCTCAGCTTCTGTCTCTGCAAAGGGGCAGGAACTCTAAGTGCTTAATTGGAATAGTCTTAAACCTGATTTTCTTGTGTGTGTATGTTATATGTATTTAATAAGCAAGTTGAGAACGTTTGATAGTTTGCATGTGACTTCTCCTAGGCTGGAATGCTTGATAGGCTTTTGGCAGAAAAAAGTGGATTTCCAGTGTATTTAGACTTATAAAAAAAAAAAAAAAACATTTCTTGATTAATCCAGTGCCTTAGGCTGATTAATGGGAGTGGCCTTCATAGCAGAGAATTCAACTGTATGGGAAATAAAGGATTGTTTTATACCAAAAGGATTGTGAATTATTGGTCATCTTTATCTGAAGAAAATTGCATAGGCACAAGTTTTCCTGTTAGAATGGCAGCTAACACTGCTGTTTTCATGCAATTTGGTGTGGGTAGTAATTGAGTTAAACAGGCTTGTGTTATCTTGGTTATAGAAGTGCTAATTAGTAGATTAAAGGCCAAATAGTCAATATGGTAGCAGATAAAATTTATTAAGGCTGTACTTCATGGCTTCTAGCCTTAAATTATGTGGAATAAAGGTGTGAAAGAGTGTTCCCTGTAGGGAGTACCATCTTCAAAGAAAACAAAAAAAACTCCAACCCTAAAGGCAGGGCCAGGGCTGTGCAGCTGGTTCAGCTGTGTGTTGGTGCCTGGGAAAATCTTGCAACAAGTCTTGGAATACATCTCTGGGCACGTGAAGGAGAAGGTGAGTTGGTAACAGCACGGACTTTGCAGGGATAAATCATCTCTGGTGAGATGTCTTGTGTAGGTCCTGGTGTGCATGGCAGTGGGACAGTGCTCAGCAGTGTTCCAGAGCAGCAAAGAAGGGTGACAGACTGCTGGGTTGTAACCACGGGCTCTGCCCTTGTTATTATCTCCCTTAGCATTTTGTTAGGTCGTGTTTAGGGTCCTACATCCAATTTACATGACCAACAGAGGAAATTCATCGGTAAACAAGTTGGAAGATTAGTTGTTTGTTTTTTTTTCTTGTACATGGGATACAAGTATATTGACTGTGCAAGAAAAACAACAAATTGTAAAAAGGAATCTTGTTGTTCACACAGTGTTATGCCTGATGTTGTGCGGAGGTCACAAATGCGGCGAGGTTGAAGAAGTGTAGGGTAGCTTCTCTGGACGTGGTGTTTGTTCAGAAGGGTTTGGATAATTCTGTTTCATAAAACTTAGATATGGAAAATGGCAGCTGGGGCTGTGGGGTTTTCATGAGAGATTGTTGCTGCTGTGTCCTGTAGAGATTCTCTATGGTACTCTGTTCTGGTGCTGATCTATGCAAGAGATGCTTCATTTCTCATGTTTCAGTAGCATTTCTTTACATAGGTGCTGCGTCTGCTGTTGGTTTTTCCTCCAAACCTCTTCATCTTTGTTACAATTGTTGTCTTTGAGAGCTGAACAGTGCTTTCACTATTTTCAGTGGTGCTTTCTGCTCACAGACTGCAGTGTCTGTTGAGAGGCACTTTATCTTCCAGACGTTGTTTATTCCAAGTGCCCTGCGAGACGGAGATCTTCCATAATGTTCCAAGGTTAAATTTTGCGGAGAGCAGCGAGATCAGCCAGTCCTCACAGATACACATTAATATTTTTATGCAAGTGATTATCACCCTAAATGATCTACCCAGTTTTATGTTATAAGGCTGGTCCGGGGCAGGGAGCTGTGTTTCAGCAAACTACACCAAACTGCTGGTAGCAGAGCGCGGTGCAGGAGGGCTGCCGGCCATTTAGCGCGGAGGTGAGCGGCTGCTGAAAGGATTTCCCTGCAGTGATACCATCTAGAGC